GGTAACCAAATTTAGAATGTCTAAAAATAATGAAAATTAAGCTCTTAAAACTGAATGAATTTTAAGGCTGATTACAGTATTCAGAATGAACCGTTGAGTTTTATGGAAATTGAATGTTACCCATTAAATTCTCAACACTTTGAAATGTAGGAAGCAACTTTCAAATTTCAAAAAAGCACAAAAAATAAGGTACAAAAATTAATGCAAACAATTGAGTGAAAAACTGAAGAATTAAATAAAAAAATGGTGTCAAATGGCGCAGTATACAAGATGTAGTTCTCACTTTGATTCAGTTTAATTTTTACCATAAATTTCTACATGTCTGAAAGTGTAGGAAAAAAGTTTAAAATGTGAAAAAAGAATGAAAATTGAGCTCTAAAAATTTAAGTGAAAAAATGGGTGTAATTGCATTATTAAAAATGATCCATTCATTTTTATGAAAATTGGATTTCACCATAAATTTCTACACACTTAATAATGTAGGAAACAACTTTAAAGTTACACAAAATCTTGAAAAATGAGGTAAAAAACTTAAAGCAAACAATTAACGGAAAAAACGAGTGGAAAAAAAAAATTAAGAATCAAAAGTCATTTTTATGCAAAATGGACTTTACCATTAAATTCTACATGTTTTCTAGTGTAGGAAACAATTTTAAAAAATTAAAAAAATTAAAATTAATGGCAAAAAAAAATTAATTAATAAACGCGCGTTTAAACGCGGAATGCGCGTGCGCTGCGGCGCGTCAAAAGCGCGTCTAAACGCGGAAAATGCGGGTTTTTTTATTAATGCCCTTTTTTAACACTTATTTTTTATGTTTTTTTTTTTTTCAAAATTTTGAATTTATTTCCTAGGTTTTAATATGTGTAGAATTTTATGGTAAAATCCATTTTTCATAAAAATGAATGGTTCATTTTACAATAGCGGGGTTCACAATACAATTTCCTGAGGATTCTATTTAGCCACCTCAGAATCCGCTTCCGCTGCTGCGCAGGCTAAATTTAAGTAATATTCATGAACAGAACTTATAACTGATCAAGGAAGACATTGACCCTGCCCCCCCCAGTGGAAACAGTAGCAGGTACCTAAATCACAAAACTCACTCGCTCATCCATCACCTACCTATCAAATTATGCGGGGCCTCAGCGAACGTCAACAACTCATAAGGGAGGTATTTCTTGTTATGGCTTTTCATCACCAAGAGAGCACTGACAAGCTGCTCGATGATATCACCAACCTTCCAACAATCCCAACCTTTGGCGCGATACTCTTTCCTGACAACCTCAGCTACCAATTCATCTGGGAAAATTTCTTCGACGACGAGACAGAGGCGGCTGAAATACTTGAGGACTTACTTCAACATCGATACTTGAATTTCCGTACACCAGCAACTACCCATGAGGATTACGATCTTGGAAAATTGTTTGACATGCGTGACAACGATTTCAAGCAGGCTGTTAGGACAACTAAAACCGGATTTCTGTGGCTCTTGAATCAAATCCGTATCCATCCTATCTTTTACAATAACAGTACTCGACCTCAACTTCCTATCCCTCATCAGCTGGCCCTCACCCTGGAACGACTTGGATCTAACGGAAACGGAGCTTCAGTTGGACGCTTCTCTCGCAATCTTAGCGTCGGCCGTGGGACGGTAGTCAAAGTCAGTCGTCGTGTGATACAAGCAATCAACGAAATCTCATCAAAGTACATAGTTTGGCCAGATAAGGATCGACGTAAGGAGATATCCGATGTAATGGAAAAGGAAGGGTTTAAAGGTTGTATTGGTTTTGTTGACGGTACTACAATCCCCTTGCATCAGCGACCTGGGATTGATGGAGAAGTCTATTGGGATCGGAAAAAGCGATATTCGATCAATTGCCAGGTGATTTGTGATTGCGATAAATTTATCACTTCGTTCATGACTGGATGGCCTGGATCCTGTGGCGACAGCTTGGTATTCACAAACATGAAGGTTCATAAGGAGCCAGAGGATTATTTTGACAGTGGTGAGCTTGCCATATCGGAATTAGAAAAGAAGAATTTGATACTGATTGACTATTCCTCCTAGGTCAATATCTGATTGCAGATACAGCTTATGGACTTTCAATGACAACGATCCCTGCGTACAAAGCTCCACTATCAAAAGTCCATCGAAACACAGAATTCAACTATTGTCTTGCCAAATCTCGCGTACGAAACGAGCATACCATCGGAATACTCAAAGGAAGGTGGGCATCTCTCCAACAACTCCGACTTTCTCTTAACGAGCAGAAGGACATGATGGAAATCTTGCGATGGATCAATGCATGTGTGGCTTTGCACAACATGCTCGCTCATCTTGGGGACTCGTGGGATGAAATGGATCTTGCTGGGGAAGATGGAGGTCTTGAGGCAGCAGCCATGGCTCAACAGCAAGCAAGCCATGTGGTACATCGCGATGAAATTCAAAGAAAGTGTCTTGAAATCAACCACCACATCGGAACTCTGCCTATCCCTTCTTAAATAATCTTTGAATGAATCAATATCGACCGAACAACAGTATCTTGGTTGATGGTGTGACAGTTGATGTTGTGTGCTTGACAGTTTTCAGTTCTCAGACTCTTGCTCTCTGACTGACAAATCAATTCTTTGGATTTAGGGACGCGCGGATAGAACAGGAAGACCAAGAATGTAGATTTGATTCAGATGATTGGATCCATCTGGTGCTGTGGGCTGGGGTGATCGGGCGTACAGTCCATCCCCCTCCCCATTGTGGTGTGGGTTGGCCTTTGGCGTACAGTCGAGGTTGGCCCATACCTACCATTTGGGATCCATTCTGCCTTTCAATTTGTCCACCAATCATTTTCTACTTTGGCTCAAACGATCCTATTCACAATCCATCTCAAACTGCGATTGGAAACCTATTATCACATCGAGCAAACCTTTGTGCAAGGGAATCACTTCTTGAGTCGGTCGGATTTGATCGAGCCGGATTTGAAGATCATCAAACTCAACAGTCTGATCAACAGCTATTCGGAAAGCTCGATCGTCAAGAATCTCGTCCGAACGGAGGATCAAAGGTTTCCTTTCCTCAATCCTTCAGGATCCTAATCAACTGCGACTGGCAACAGTAACTCGACTGCGACTGGCAATCAAGACCTATCGACGTGATTCTTCGCTTCCTCACGGAGGAAAGGTGATCATTCGTTTTGACTCAATCTGACACAGCTTGTCGACGCCGGCCAAGTCAACGCAGCGATTCCCTGTGATTTTTCGGACATGTTTTCGGGTGGACAATGTGCGATCTCAGCTTCAAGGTGGCTCAGTCTGGCCAGATCATTGTAAGATTATCCAACAGGCGAAGACTTCTTTTCCTCTGACCTTCCCCTAGAACTCCTCGCGACTCACTTAGCACCGGTGGCCCAAAATGGGGTGGCAGCAATGTTCTTGATTAGCGGTAGAGATGAGACGATGCCCAGCACGGTTGACAAAGAACGTTTCCTTCAACGTTTGGTCGATGCTCTCACTTCCTCATCCAATCCTGATCATGTACGATTGACATCCGATGTTCGTCTTCGCTAACGATCTCTCCAGTTGACCCGACACTCCGAAGTCACACAACTTGGTCTCTCCCTTCTAGTTGATCAACACATTTGTTGGCTTGACATCTATCAAAACAATCCTATCTATCAGTCATCCTTTCTTGTAATCCCCCCGGAAGAAATCATCAAAATCTCCGACATACCTCGATGTATAGTCTGTAACTCATCCTTGAGGAACCGCAACCCTTCAACAACCCTCCCGGTGACTCTAGCCAGGACGGGCTCCGGAACATCAGCGCCCGCCAACTTATCCAAACTTCCACCATCCATATATTCCATGCAGTAGTAGACACAAGATTCGATAAAGAAGGCGCCATAGAACTCAACAATTGTATCTGAGGTTGCTCAATGCAAGATATCGAGCTCGGTGAGAATCGCTTTGAGCTTTGAATCATCTAACTCTAATCTAATTTCCTAGTTCCAACCCAATATAAAAAAACAAAAAACTTTCAGTTAAAAAACAAAAAGAACAGTTGAATCCAAAATTGGTCCAATAAACTGACTTTCATTGCCATGACCACTTTGGTAGGTTTATGGAAGACTTTCTGGACGGTACCATAATTACCTTTACCCAATTCTTCCATGAGAGTCAATTCGTTCATATTGATAGAGAAGGAGGATCCGTTGGAGAAGTCGACGCCATGGGAATGGACGACGGCCTTTCCGCCGAAATTGAGTCTGCCGGAGGGGTCGATGATCTTACTAAAGTTAGTGAATGGGGTCGCAGTGGCAGCTCCCAAGACGGACAAGAACTTGGTCTGACTGTTCATCGAGGATGAGGAGGAGGAGGAGGATAATGACGAGGGTGGTTGAGAGTGCATATGCTAGTCAAGGGTGTTAGAGGAGCGTCTGCAAGTGCACCAGACAAAAAAGACAAATTTGGTTTTGACCCAAAGAACGGCAACTCAAACTGAGAAAGAATCACAAGTCAACTTCCGAAGTAACTATTAAAATGTGTATCAATTCATTATATCTCCTTGCAACACTTCACTCGTCTTTTGTCTTTGTCTTTTTTTGCTTGTTTCCTTTTAGGCTTGTACATACATAGCTAGATATTCTGTGTCTTATAAATATTCCGATCATTTTTTAATATAAATATAGTGTGAATCTGATTGATTATGAGCTGTGTAAATACTAAAATCCAAGTGAGAACACTTCGAACCAACTTTTAGATACATGCAGAGATTTGCATTTCAGCTACAGTGTCATATTGGAGAGGAATAAAAAACCTAGAATGCACATCTCATGATGATCTCAATCTCAGCAGCGCTTCGTCCCTCACTCATCAGCTTTTCAGCCATACGCAACTTGGCATCGGCTTGTTTAGTTGAATTATTTTGTTCAGCTGAATGTTTTTTTTTCTCCCATTCAAACTTACGCTCTTCCATAGCCATATGCTTGTCGAGGTAGGAGAATTTTTTGTCAGCCGATGATTTGAATGCAGCTGCAACAGTTGACTTTCCCTTTTGGTTTCCGGTTGGTTCTCGTCTTGGTCCCGGAACTGATTGGTTGTCCGCATTCTGATTTGGAAAACGACCTTGAGAGGGACCAGGTTCGATTGGTGGATCTTCGACTTCATCTGCAGCATCTTCAGCCTCATCAAGGGCAACCGACCTCTGGAGGTTGCCGAGAATTGATGCCATGGTGCGACGGGGCTGATTGGTCCCAGTTTGGATGGACAATTGATGCGGCAACAGCTGAGATTGGACAGAAAGACGGGTTTCTGCTTGCAAGGCTGGAGTAGACCTGGTATTTGGTTCTGCAATGCTCCGAGAATGTGGAGTCAGCACTTGATTAGTGCATCTGAAAGCTACCAACAACTCACCTTCAGGTAACTCAGCATTTCCTCCCATGGTGGTTTCTTCACCGGCAGCAGCAATGTGAGATTGATCTTCAGGTTGATCTTGGGCTGACAAAGTCTCTTGATTTTCATTTACCTCCCGATTGGAGCAAAACAACTCGGTGGATCGAAGTCGGTCGTCATCCATTGGTTGATCGTATAGCTCCATCCCGCCTTGAGACTCATATTGAGCTGCCGGTGTAACATTTGGCTTGCCTCCGAAAATCTGATCCATTCTCTCATAGCAGGGGCACATCGATTCTAACTTAGCTTTGATGGTGATCCCATTATCACAGATATCGATACCAGCTCCAGTCGTATCAGCCCAATGCTTAGCGCTGGTGAATCTCTTCTTGTAAGCCTCGATACGTTGTCGGAGGAGCTTCCCATCAAGGTGAAGTCGTTTGTTGGTCTGGTCGTTCATGTAGATAGCAAACACATCGTATGCTGCACCCTTAGTTAGAGATTGAGGGCCAACCGATGTTCTAGTACTGTTTCCATATATTTGGGTGTAGTGTTGGGGATCTTCAAGGTAACTACAAATAAGCTGATAGTCGGTCGCAATAAACTGAGGATTGGAGTCTGCAGTTCTGCTCGTACTAGTTGCTGGCTTTGCTGCTGAACGGTGTGCATTAGAATTTTTCTTGAGGGCAGCCAAGCGTCTAGCAGTTGGAACCCAATATTTGAACTCTTTCTCGTTGTTGGTTTTCTTTGAAGTCGATTTCTCGATTCCTTGGCTCGCCCTGTAGATCTCCATCTCGGCATTGGTACGGCGGTTTCGTTTTGGCTTTGGAGTAGTTGAGGAATCTGCGGCTTGATTCAAAGGGGCTGGGATGGTCAAGTCCGGCAAGTCCGGCCTGACCTCAGATATTTCCTGAGACATCGCAAGAAGGGATGGATCGACTGTTTCGTTTGTCTGTGAAGAGATTGAGTACATTCATCTAAGCTACCCCATACATACAGTCAACTTGTATCAACTTGATAGTTCAGACACACTCACCATCGTTGATGATTTGGGTACAGTCACTGGTTTTGAGCTGTTTAAAATGATGGCCCTTTGTCAAGTTCAATCTAATCACAGAGAGAACAAGGTAAATTCAGATAAGTTGTGAATTCAAACAGAAGTGAGATGAACTTACTTCCAACTTAGAAGGGAGAGTTGATGGCGATGCGGATGGTGTTACTTTGACGAGTGATCAAAATCACCAGACGATGACGTGTACCGAGGAAGTTGGGTGTTTGGCTTGGAGAGGGGGTTTCCAGAGGGCCTGAGCAAGAGTTTTCTCGTTATCACAATTTTAATAATTTTATGAGTTGAAAAGCTGAGCTCAGGAACCGATTATGGTTCCTGAGATGTGAATTCTGAGCTTAATTTTAGCATAAATTAAGCTCAGGAAATCTTAATTTTATATTCAGTTTGACGCGGGTCAGGATTCAAAATCTGTGTTGTGAACCCCGCTAATGCAATGAGACACATTTTTTTCACTAATTCTTGACAGCTTGATTTTCACTATTTTTTGACATTTTGAATTTTTTTCCTACACTTTTAGACATGTATAAAATTATTTTAATAATTATTTTGCATCAAAATGAAAAAAATTTCTTGAATAATGCATTCGACATGTTTTTTCAATCAGTTATTACAGGCTTAATTTTCAATATTTTTGGAATTTCAAATTCATTCCCCACATTCTTAGAGGTGTAAAGTGTTATGGTATCATCAAATTTACTCAAAGATCAAATCTTCAATTGTAATATATGAAATTACTTTGTTTCTTGGATCATTTGTACCACATACCAATTTTATTTGTATGCAGAATGGATATAACCATCAATTTTGAAATCTTTCAAAATGTAGGAAATAAATTTCAAATTTCAAAAAATAATGAAAATTAAGCCTGTAAGAATTAATTTAAAAAAAAAAACAAGTTGAATGCAATATTCCAGAAAAAGTCTTCATTTTGATGCAAAATGATTATTACCATAATTTTATACATGTCTAAAGGTGTAGGAAAAAAAATTCAAAATGCCAAACAATAATTGGTGGTTGTGTGAAGTGTTTTATTCCATCAGCTTCTTGGCCCTGATGTGATTTGCTTATTTTGTTGTAGGGTCTAGAGTGAAACTGCCTTGTAAGCATACACAACATAAGTATAACCTCTCTGTAAGCATAGCATAAGTATGGATTTCCAGCAACCATTTTCTTGTTTTTTTTTTTCAGTGAATTTTCCTCCATAATAAGCATACCTCCATGTAAGCATAGCATTTGTGTACACCACAGTTGCTGGTTGACTGGATGCAGACATAGGAGATAGCGTCAGCCGGACCCTTCCGACACCACCAAATAATTTGGGTGGCCGACCCAATGCCTCATAGCGGGAGGTGTTGGAAGCCATTGTTGGCATATCTTCCAACATGTGCTTTGCGTGAAGGCCCGCTGTTGGCTGATCTTTTGACAAAAGGCTTGTGTCAAAGCCCGCCGTTGGCTAATCTTCTGACAGAATGCTTGCGTCAAAGCTGCCGTCAGCTGATCTTCTGAAGGTGGCACTCAAAAAAGAACCCACACCCCAGGCTCAAACTCTCCATCTGGCTCTCAACACATGAGCCAGCTGCACCTCTTGACAGTTGCACCAGCAGCCATAACTCATGCAATCTGAGCAATTGTGTTGGCTATAAATCAGTTTTTATTTTGTTTCCTGGTATCTTCAGTGAGTCTTTCTTTTTTTTTTTTTTTCTAAGTCCATTTTTTAAACTTTTTTTTTTCAAACTTTTTTGTCCTATGTAGCCTCTTTCATGCATGGAAAGAGGTGTAGAGCACTTGATCAATAAGTGATTTTTATTGAGCTGTTGGTCAGGCCAACTCAAACCAACCTTTGATAAAGGCACAACCAGCCGTTGTCGTTGGCTTGCTCCTTCAAACAAGCCTTTGTTGGCTGGTTGTGTGTGCCGGACCGAAGCCTGACTGCTGGTCAATCTGAGGATGATCTCAGGCTGGCTCAACCGGCCGACATTGTTGGCCTGCTCATCAGGGCCATATTGTGTGGGCTGGGTCAGCCACGGCTCCCTGTTCTACCTGAGTGTCATGCCAACAACATAGGTCAGGAGTGTTGGCTTGACACTTGGGTCAGATGGGTCAGAATTATGTTCAGCTGACCCATCCTTGGTGTTGGCCTGTCCCTGCTGTCACATACAGGGCCGACAGGTCAAGTCTGCCCTGTTTCTGACTCTGCAGCCAAGCCAACACGGTCAAATGAAAAATATTGACTTGTGGTGTAGGTCCATATGATTTGTGAGCTGAATAACAGTCAAGGAAAAAAACTGCCTGGCATCCAGGATGCAATGCTTTGGTTGGAACCTGATTTCACAGCTGCTGGATGTCCCAGGATGAATTGTCTTGTGACCCAGAGTAGACGACTGTTGCAACATCTTCTCTGTTAATCTTCTTCTCAAATCTTAAAGATCTTGAATCCTTGTAGAAAAATTTGGGGTCTTTTTTTTTGTTTTCTTTGCAGGCTATTTGTTCTTAGGGAGTCCAATAAGTTTCTTGTTTCTTGAGTTTGTGTCTTATTCTCTTGTGTGAAAGTTTCTACTTTATCAGTCTTGGGCTTTGATTTCCCCTTTTTCAGGTAGTCAGTCATCAACACTTTTGGAAATGTGATATGTAGTTGTATGTGATTGATTCTTCATTGTTGATTGGGTGAGGGGTGGTACCGTCTATCTCAATGATGGTGCTCTTCTCTTCTTTCCCTTTTTGAAGCAAGTCCACCAAGTGCATCTTTATTTTTATTTTGCTAGTTGATTTTTTTTTGCTGGGGGGGGGGGGCTTGGGAAAATTTCATTCAACACAGCATTGGGGTTGACAACTGGCAGTTTGTATCCCTCATTCCCCAATTTGAGCTTATGTTTGTGTGTATTGATTTTTTTTTTGGAGAAAGATGACAGCCAAAGGAGAGCCATTGCCATATGAGATTCTTCTGAATTTCTTATGGATTTTGAATCTTTTGATAGGCCTGAAGTATGCATAAATATATTAACATAAGATGTGTACTTTAACCTAGAGCTTTACAGGTGTCACGTCAACAACAACAACAACAACGAAAACCAAATCATCAACTGATCAGAAGAAACAAAAAAAAAAAAAACCTCAAGATAGAAGAGGTGAGGAATCGTGAGAGCTTCAAGCGCAAAAAGAGGAAGAAGAAAAAGAAGCGCAGAGCAGAGACGGTCGGAGTTTTCAACAAGAAGATCGAAACCAAGGTATGGAGATCAGGAATCAAGGGAGAGGTCATAGACGCCCGGTACCCGCTCGTCATCGAGATCATTGATCATCTTCGTTCGTTGTCGTCATGTAGAGAGAAAGAGAAACGAGAAGGGGTTTTTTTTTTTCTTGGACCGGTTCCCGGACTGCCCGAGATTCATGAAGAACGAAGTCGGACGGTCATGGCCGATAAGCCAGACAAGAGTAAAAAACGGGGGTGGTAAGAAGTATGCGAGTGAAGAAGCCAGAGATTGGTAGTAAAGGATCGAGGAAAGAAGTCTAATGGTTGGGCGGTTGATGCAGATGGAGAGAGTAGAGAAGAGAGAAACCAAGAAGATTCGAGTGGATTACGAATGAGACGGTGGCTTATTGAAAGTGGATTGTTCGGATCCCTCGGTGGAGAAACAAAATGGAGGAATAAAGGAAGGTTGATGCAGAGGATGAGAGGAGGACGATGGGAAAGACTGATGGGCAGGAAGAGGAGGAGGAAGGCAGAGTTGAGAGAGGAGCAAGTCGAAGACTGAAGGATGATCCGTCGACAGATTTTGAACATCATTGTTATCATTAATGACCGGAGCCTGGATCCAAGCAGGAGGTGGTGGTGGTGGAGTTTGAGACTCCAGACCCGCCGGAGAAGGAGAATCTGGGGTATCAGATGAAGGGGCCATTAGAGGAGGCCAGAGCGAGTCTTGGTTCAGTCCGGAATGATCCACTTGTGGTTGCGGAAGTGGGGAAGAGTTGATCGACGCAGACGGTACTTCCTCCTGAGGATGATGATGGTGCTGCTGTAAGGAGGCGAAGAGTTGGTCGAAGTCAAGGTCTTGGAGCGAAGGAGGAGGAGGGGAAGAGAAGAATGACAAGAGCGTTTCTTGATGTTTAGGTGGATTGGTAGTAGTAGTGGTGGTGGTGCTAGTCATAGTAGGTGTTCGGACGGTGTGGTCGTCTTCTCCCTCAGAAGAAGCGGAGGACGAGGATGATGATGAAGGGATGGGTTGGTTGGTGGTTGGTGGTTGAGGGCGGTTGAGTTGGCTTAGGATATCCTGCAGGTTCAGATGCTGGTTGAAGGAAGAGGGCGGCTGGATGGGCTGTTCTTGGGCAACGGCTGGTGGTGTTGCTGAGTGAGTGGTAGTGGTAATTAGGCCTTCGAACAGCCGGGGATCGATGTGAGCTGCTGACTCGGCCTCGACCCTCTCCTTCTGCTTCAGTTGGTTCCCCGCTCTTCCAGCTTCCGCTCCTTCTTCTTCTTCTGCTGGTTGGGTCGTTAGCCTGGAGGATATCGATGGGCTGAAAGTTTCGATGGGTGGCTTAATCTGATCCAACTCATTAAACTTCTTCGATCGCTTCAACTCTCTCGCTCTAGCATTGCAAAACTGAATTGATCATCATCATCATCAGTTACCTCGCTTGAGTAATGGCTTTCACAAGGATTGTAATATTTACCCAACGGTTAATTTGAGTAGAGGAGAGACCCAAGGTGAGTCCGACCATGTCTTTCTCGACCGATGAGAGATGTTGGTCATAGTTGAGGATCGAGAGCAAGATCTTAGTTTGCCAGGGGTTGAATGGCTTAGGCTTCTGACGAGCAGTAGACTTTGTTCTTATGGGCAATGATGATGATGATGATGATGATGATGAATGAGGCGAGGAGGAGTGTCGGTTTTCTGAAGAAGAGGAGGAGCTGGAGGCCGGTGAGTCAGCTCGGGGTTGCTGGTGACCGTTGAGTAATGAGTAGATGAGTTGCGAGGTTCCAGCTTCATCTTCTTCTTGCTGTTGCTGTTGGTAGTAGTGCTGTGTGAGTGATTGGAAGAGGGGTAAGGTGGCTGACTGGAGGTCGATCATCTTCTTCTTTTATGACTGTTCTTTTCTACTGTGGCAGGGCTGGAGTCGAGGGAGCTTGTGGAGTAGCCGAGTGGAGTAGGAGATCGTGGTTAGTTATGATCAGGCTGACTGAGACATCACCAGTCAATCTGGATTAAATACTCTTCCTACTCACACCTCCCCGCCACGAGTCCTACGGAGCCTTGTGTCATCCCCCATCCTGGTGTTGTTCAAAGGGAAGTGGTCATGATGAATATGAACCAAAGCAACTGCTACAAACAAAAGGAACTAGCGCATATCCATCTTGAATATCCATCCTGCAATTCCCCCCCTTCGTATTCATTATTGCTTTCAGTTGCGCCTCAGAGCGTCCGCGCGCACGGCAAACCCACGCGCTCCATCGCGCTCTTCAGCCGGTGATCCGAACCCGAGTTAGGACTCAGGGCCTTGGCCCTCTTGGCCCGATCCCATCCGACCAAGAGGAATGATCAATTCAGCCATCCGATTCCAGCGAGCTTAACTAAGCCTCTCGATCGGAGGGTCCCGAAGGGACCCCGCGTCCCTGCGGGACGCTCTGCGAAGGAGAGGCTTACATGGTAAGTGGGACTCGAGGCCTGAGGATTTAAGGTTTTCAAGTCGATTTTATGATTTTTTCCCTTAAAACCTGTGTACATAGGAAACCTCAGTGATATTCACAAATCTGACCTCACGCGATGTTAGCCTGGCATCTGGGCTGTCTTCTAAAAAAAAGAAAATCCAGATGTGTGCAAAACTGAGTCGGCTACCTCCATTCTAAGGAGGCCAGTTTGTGAGTCGCCAAAACCTGCTTTTTGGAAGTTTCAGATCATCGGATCCTGCCCACATGATTGGATAGGAGATTATAAGAAATGTTGTGTTGTAGTTCAAAAGAATATGTGACAGTTTTGACAGTTTGAAATGTGGCAAGAGAGGCTGAGAGGTTTCCAACCACTAGAGAACTACATAACAAACAACTGAGTGGATAAAGAAAAACCGAATACCTGTCACATCGAAAAACTCAAGAGATAAAAAAGTCCATAGGTGCCACAGTTGTCAAGGGAGGCGTAAGAACGGACAATTAATCCGGTCAAGATACAACCGGATTCTTATTTCTCAGTTTTTATCAGGTTCCATATCTCGAGATTGGAGAGGGTTCACAGGAAGTGGCTGGCACCATGATGAGCAGAAAAATAATGTGTTTTTTCATGCTGAACGGCATTGTTAGGTTCAATGATGTACTGGGTCTTCTGGGGGATTTAGTAATGTATCCGGCAATTTGGCTGTATGCCCTCAGGCCAGGTGAGTGATGTTACATGCAAGTCCCTCCCTTGCGGGAGGGGGCCCTCCGGGCCCAGGGAGGGACTTGTGTTAAGTTTGCGATTCCAGAACAACCAGCTTCAACAGATCCATCTGCTACATATAAATTGGCACATATGTACAATCCTTCCTTGTGTGAAGCATCCTTTTAGAATATCACCAAGACTTACCCAACACTTTGCATAATGAAAACTACAATCTGGCTGATCAACAGCTGAATTAACTGAGGTTGAGACACCATTAGTCCCCATGAAAAAAAGTGGCAAGTTTCCAATTGCAACTGCAATCTTAAGTGAAGTGATTGCTGTACAAATGATACCTTTTTTTTGGGGGGGGGCACTCATCTTTAGTCAATCTTCTTCAAAGGTCCTTAGGGCTACTGTCTGGGTGAGCTTCCTAGGGTACCACTAATAAACTGGGAAAGAGTTATTCAAGGGACTTGGTGGTGGGAGTCACTTTGTGTGGTGATGATGGTCAGGAGGTGGGTGCCCATCTGGACAAGTTGTCTCTCTACAAATAATCTTGGATGGATTTCTGTTAGTTTATCAGCTGTATTTGGAGGGCTAGAGGAAACCTGACCACTGTGCTTGGAAATTCCCAAAAAGAATGGAAGGGGGGTGTCAGCCTCTGGGTAACTAACCTTAGAGATGGGCCGGGATAATCCGTTGCGGATATCCGCTATCCGCTGGCGGATACCCGCCAGCGGGTGCGGATTCGGCTTTGGATGGCTGTTTTTCCGCCCAAACCTGGCGGATATCCAGGTATCCCAAGGGATACCCGGTGCCAAGAGAGGCCACACCGCCGGGAGGAATCCCTCCCGGCAAGCTGGAACACAATCCAGCTTGCCGGGAGGGGTTCCTCCCGATGAGCTGGTGTACATACCAGCTTGCCAGGAGGGATTCCTCCCGGCGAGCTGGGATGAATACCCTCTCGTCGGGAGGAACCCCTCCCGGAGAGCTGGGATGAATACCCTCTCGTTGGGAGGGGTTTCTCCCGACGAGAGGGTATGTACACCAGCTCGTCGGAAGGAATCCCTTCTGACGAGCTGGTATGTACACTAGCTCACCGGGAGAGATTCCTCCCAACGAGCTGGTGGGTATGTACACCTCCCTGCGAGCTGGTGGGTATGTACACCTCCCTGCGAGCTGGTGGGTATGTACACCTCCCGGCGACGACCGTTTCCTCCATCCTGCCAGGGTCCTCGCCCCTCTTGCCACCATTGGCGGCAGAATTTGTGTGGGGAGAGTCGGTGATTGTGTGGGGAGAGTTGGTGCGACAGATGACCGGGCCATTCTGCTTACTCTGGAAGACTTCCGAAGCTCAGCTGGTGTACATACCCTCTTGTCGGGAGGGATTCCTCCCGACGAGTGGGTATTCATCCCAGCTCGTCGGGAGGAATCCCTCCCGACAAGAGGGTATGTACACCAGCTGAGCTTCGGAAGTCTTCCAGAGTAAGCAGAATGGCCCGGTCATCTGTCGCACCAACTCTCCCCACACAATCACCGACTCTCCCCACACAAATTCTGCCGCCAATGGTGGCAAGAGGGGCGAGGACCCTGGCAGGATGGAGGAAACGGTCGTCGCCGGGAGGTGTACATACCCACCAGCTCGCAGGGAGGTGTACATACCCACCAGCTCGCAGGGAGGTGTACATACCCACCAGCTCGTTGGGAGGAATCTCTCCCGGTGAGCTAGTGTACATACCAGCTCGTCAG